CTGATTAGTTGGTTGGTTGTTGGCTGATTAGTTGGTTGGTTGGTTGTTTGATTGGTTGGTTGGTTGGTTGGTTAGTTGGTTGGTTGTTCGTTGATTAGTTGGTTGGTTGTTCGTTGATTAGTTGGTTGGTTGTTCGTTGATTAGTTGGTTGGTTGGTTGATTAGTTGGTTGGTTGGTCGATTAGTTGGTTGGTTGGTCGATTAGTTGGTTGTTGGTCGATTAGTTGGTTGTTGGTCGATTAGTTAGTTGGTTGGTTGATTGGTTAGTCTGATTCGATATGCACCATTACTGGTTGAATTGCTAATAATGCAATCAGTTTCGGAAGATTTTTTGTTCAGTTATTGCAGACTATTTTGCTGCTCAATATATATGTCAATTCATTTGTGATCGATAATACGTCTGATCCATTATTAGGCGTATTATTTATTTAGTCAATTTTCTTTTTATTTGTTTATTTGTTTGTTTGTTATTTACTTAGCTAATTGGAATTTTCATGATAAATATGGGAATATTATTTTAAATTGCTTAAATTATTTTAATAGATATTGAGAAGTGTATTAAGTTATTGTTATCTATCTGAAAATTTGGAATTGTTTAAAAAATTTTTAATGTTTTTATTTTCGAGATCATGAAGTGCACGTTTTGTCATATTTATGAATTTAAAAAAGGAAGAAAAATTAGATGATGTATGTATTCCAGATAAACTTTGAAAAAAAAAAATTCAAATTTTTCAGCCGCTTAAGCAAGAAGATCTGGTGCAACAACCACCGCAAGCCGTACCATCTGAAATGGCTGAAACCAACAACGTAAGCATTTTCGTTTCAGCGAAAGAATTTTGAAAATTTTCGAAGAAGTAAATATGTTTTATTCATTCTGATCTAATCAGAATTTAAATTACGACGTTGGAATTTAATTCAATTCACGTATTTTTATGAGCTTGCGCATTGCAATTATATTGCAGAAGCCGGAGGGCCATTACGAGCAGCCGAAGATTGAAACGCCCTTGAATGACGAAAACCACATTGACGGCAAGAAAATCGTTGCACGTCACATACAGGGCACCGTTAAGTGGTAATCATGTCCAATTTGTCTTTTTATTTTTACTTGTTGGGATTTAAAATTAATACTTGCTAGGTGATAGTATCGTTGTTGAAGAAAGCATATTCATATCTTTTTACTACATTTTATGTTTACATAATAATATAATTGTTTTGACTTTGTATTTTATATATGAAGTAATGTATAAGTTGATAAGATATCTGGTCTGAATTCCTACTGATAACAATTGTTGATTCGATGATTTGTTTATTATCTGATTAATGAGTTTCACTCTCTTCAGCATGTGATTCCGTAAATGGTATTTGGAAAACTTTTACCTTCTCTCGTATTTCCTATTATTGAATTTATATATAATGAAACTTTTTTCAGGTTCAACGTCAAGAACGGCTATGGGTTCATAAACCGCGCTGATACAGGCGATGACATCTTCGTTCATCAAACGGCTGTCACAAAGAACAATCCAAACAAATATTTGAGATCACTAGGCGATGGCGAAAAAGTCCTTTTTCATTTATTTTTTTGCTCTCTTGAATCAATGATTCGATAATGAAAAGTAGAGGATTGCGAGGATTTTTGTTAGCATTGCAGAATCGTTTGATTAATTTGACACTTCAGATATCAAAAATTTGAATGGCCAAAGATGACAACGATATTCGATGATGAATCATCTTTCTTTAGGTCGAATTCGATGTTGTAGAGGGACAAAAAGGGCCAGAAGCAGCAAATGTCACCGGTCCAAATGGGGGTAACGTGGAGGGCTCGAGATATGCAGCTGATAAAAGCGATATGCGAGGAAGAGGACGAGCTTATCGTCGGCGTTTCTATTATGGTGCTTACCGTCCGGGTAGAAGTGGAGCGAGACGTGCAAACTCTGAAGGTGATGGTGAAAGTGGGGATAATGATGAAGTAAGAAATTCTGAATAGATATTCATGCTATGCCGCGGCAAAAGTATAGAACATGATGAATATGGATTTCAATCAAATTGTTCATGAGGGCAGTCGTTTTCAGGGTGGGAGACGTGGACGTGGAGGGTTCCGTGGTCGTGGACGTGGACGTGTTCGTGGTCGAGGACGCGGTCGCGGTGGACAGCGTCGCCGTGCATCGGAAGGTGATCACCAGGAGGCCACAACAGAGGATCAGTTAAGTGGTGAAAATGTTTCACGAAAAATTGGCCGCGGACGTGGTCGTGGAGGTGCAGATTTTATTTCATTTTCTGAATTAAAGATTAGTGGAAAAATCTTGGAGGAGATAGATGTACATTACTCGGTGTGTAAATTTCAGGCAGGGGTCGCCGAGGGGCCCGTAACGTTGATGTCATGAATGGTGAAGCCGAAAACAATATTCACGTGACTTCTGACGAGAGCAAAGAAAATGAACGTCCAAATGCAGATATAAAACAGTCTGAATAATAAGTTACTCAGGTATATGAACTGATGATTTCCTTTTTGGTGTGTATCTCTCAGGAAGTTAAAATAATTATGAATACACTGACATAATTATTGACGTTAAGGTCGTTAGTCATTTTTCGTTAACGTTTTTTAATTACGATCTATTTCAAAAGAGATTTTATATTAAACATAGGCTTGCAGTTTTAGATCAGAAGGTTTAAGTAAACTTCTGATCTAAAACGTTTTGCTGTTTTGGTTTTTAAATAGTTCATTTTTCAGCTGAAATTGAATCTTTTGTGCTTTTCCCAACTGTCATCAATTTGTCACGAAGCCCGGCCTTAACCGAATTAATGACGCCTGCTTCATCTTTGCCAGGAAAATTCCTCATTGTTTTGCAGTCATCCCTTTGAGTCAATATTTTTTTTTCATGTATGCTTCGAACTGGCGATTAGTGTTTTGTTTATTTTGTAAGTACCACATCAATACTCGGCCACCATCAATCCCGTTGTTATGGACGGCTTCGCTTGTGTATCATTGATATAGATGCTTAGGAAATTTCTCCATTTTAACAAATTAAAATTAATTTACCCGAAATATCGGAATTCATATTTTTCAAAACATTGCGAAAACTCTTAAATTTCAAAATTCGAAATATCATCCATTTACGCTTCTGTTAAATTATTACGAGCTATAATGATTTCATTCACTGTAAAACTTCACATCATAATGAAATTGAACACAAACGGTTCCTAATAATGTGGTAAAGTAGTTGCAACCATTAGCCCTATTTCCTCCTTAGTCACCGATGTGAAAAATAAGTGGGATTAGTTCATGGGATTCTAAATCCTATCGGATTAGTTTAGGATAGACTGAAATATTTTCTTTTATTTTGTGTAAAAGTGGTTCGAAGTTTCCTTTCGTTTTAAACGTAAAATATAAGCTTTAATAAGCGTTGATAATAACCACATTGTTGTTTCTTCACTCTTGTCAATTACAATTTTCTTTTCTTGAAATTTTGTTTTAATGATAATTAATTCATATTTGCATAAACCAAATCCTTAAAATCTGATAATCATCATTTTCAAACCTTCCTGTCTGTTCAGGATTTGGAAAATTTCCTATTTTCATCTATCCAGTTGTTTTTGTTCATCATATAGCACATTTGAAGTTTTTCCCATCCTCGTCACTTTAAGTTTTGTAAACAGAACCATCTTATTCCGTAGATTTTCTCCAAAAATTCATGGTACAAGTTTTACGTGCTTGTATATGGTCGTAATGACTGTAAGTGTACGGTGTTTTACGAAAGAATATTTGAAATTTATTGTTTGTTTTGTAGAGTTCCGATTAAAGTTGAATGGGGAAAGTAAATTGGTTGCTTCTAATATATATTTCACTTCCTGCATTTTATCAAGAAATAATGCAAGGACGCGAAGCACAGAGAGAGTGAAAATTTGAAAATAAGAAACATTAAGGAACGGAATGGCCAAGGTTGAGGAGTGAAAGAGTAAAAGAGGAGGGACAACGAGACGGTGTTAAGGCGTTACGGTCGAAGATTTAAAAAATCTTAGTTGAATTTTACAAGCGAAACTGTATGTGTTGTGTCTAGACTGTTTCAACAGGTGATGCGATTTCTGAATAGTCGGAAGTACTAGTCGAAAGCGGTGAAGATCTGAGGGTCACATCGTCACGATTTCTTTGGTGTTAGCACACTCGCCTAGAAAAGATAAAAAGGAGGGAAAAAAGATGGTTGGGCATATTCAAAATTTCTTATGAAATATGATTGAAATCGTATTTGAAATCTGTAAAATGGAAAACCACAAACAAGTTAAATGTACAGAATTTATTTCAAAGTGTCCTTTGGTTAACAAAACGAAAACATGATTTTGAAATTTATTCAGAATCGCTTCCGATGATTCGCTTTTTGCGCGTCTTTTTTGCGATGGTATCACCATCGCCATTTTCATCAGACAAGGATGCGATGCTAATTGTTGATCGTTGCCGTTTTCCAAGTATCACCTAAATTCGATTGAAAGACGTAGAAGTAAGTAATGGTACTTGAGTCAAAGAAAAGTTAATAATTTCAGATGTGAACTTTTCTTACTAGTAAGTTCCCTCTCAGAATACAGTATTATCCAAATTTAACTATTAGGAAGGATTATTTACAACTCAAAATTTAAATTATTTAAGCAGCATCAACCTCATCATCGCTATCATTACTGTTAGCGATACTCCTCGCTTTATTAATCGTAAATAACTCTTCAATAGCATTTGCATTTGGTCTTGGACTTGCACTATCAGTGGATTTGAAATCTTCCTGAAACACAAATCCATAAAAATTTCCTAAAATCTTACTATAGAAGCAACTGTAAAGAATTCAATAGTTCAACTGCCACAACCGCTTAAGAAAAGTTTAGCATTTATCCATGTCACATCAAAAAGCAAACATATTTTAACAGGGAAAAAATTTTAGAAATTTTTACTAAAAACTAATTCCATGAAAAAGAATTCCTATTGCAAATTATAATACACCGCTCTTTTCGCTACATAATTTGTTGAGGTTTATGTGTAGTATTACCAATAATTGAAGTAATGATGATCATTTTTAGCAGTATTAACTCAGCAATTTATCGGATAAATAGTTCGGCCGAATTTTTCCACATAGAAAAAGATCAAATCCTTTACGTTTACAGTTACTACCGATCTTTTGTTGCAGTCATTTCCCATCCAACTATAGTAACTAATCATCATTAGATGATAACAAACTGGTTGTTTACGGTATCGCAGCTAACCATTTATACAATAGCGAAAAAATGGGAAGAAACTTACTTCTGGTGAAAGACACATAGTAGATCTGTTTGTTTTATTTCGTTTTCTGAAGATAAATGAATAATGAGTCCTAAGAATCTAAATTTCAAATCTGAAATCAGGAAGGAACAAAACAAATCGTTGAAACTCAAAAATTCTTTATTAAAACCAGTTGTAATAATATATAATACCGTTTTTCTTTACACTCATCGTCATGTTGAAAAGGATAGTCAAATCCCAGCGTATTTGAACCTGAAGTTTTAATTAGATCAAAAGTTACTTAAGCCATAAGAAAAAAATAAATGCAAAGATTTTCGAAAAAAACAAACCTTCAAAAAGGTCATCAATCCCTTCCTCTCCTGATTCTTTCCGTCCAACTAGTTTTTGAGATGGCTTTGAACGTCTAAACTGACATTGCATTTGATCAATTTACTTCATAATTAATTTCATTTTTAGATCATATATTTCACTCATGTCACTATAATTTTAGAAAGCTAATCACAGCATAAGAAACTGAATAGCAATAAAGAGGCCTATATATTTCAGCCACTATACTAATATGAAGTATGTCATAATGAATAACTATATTTATTAACTCCTAAATTATTTTTTTCAAAATGTCTAAGCAATGATTTTCTACATTTTGAGTATTGTATTGCAAAAAAGTTTTTTAAGATTTTTTTAATTTGGACAGAAAACTCTCTCAAACTATATTATTTCTCTCACATGAGAATTAGTATAAATAGACAAAGATTTATTTATGAGCTAGTTGCAAACAAGAAATTCAAAACTGAAATTTCAGAAATATTTTTTAAAACGTGACATTAGCACTAAAAATAATTGATTCCTTACGAATTTCTTTTCGGCACTGGTTCATAGTATATACCCTCATACTGTAGTTGTTTGATGATTTTTGCTCTTGTATATTTTTCCGTCAGATTGTTACGAATAAAGTTGACCAAATCATCTAAAAAAGCGGTCATCTAATATTATATTCAGAAGTTATGAAATATATCGATGCCGGACATTACATGACTGTGGATATACAAAAAATATGCAATATTTAGGAGCTTTTGTACCCTCTGAAATCGATTAACTTTAAACATTTTCCGTATTGTAATATTTAATTTAATTTTTTTGCTATATTTAATTTAACAATCCTATAAAACTGCGCGATGGTTGTAGAATCTTCACAATTGTTCGATATTTTATGTCACAGAAAAAGTTAAGAAAATAGTTTAACAGTTTTCTTCAGGCTTCATACACTATCACTTCAAGAAAAGAGTCTGCTAAGCTAGGGCAAATAAAACTGTTTCCAGTCCTCTTCTGGTATTAATAAATCGAACCTGAATGGGCAGAAGGTGTTTTTGAATTAAACTCTTTGATAAGGTTATGCAGTTGGCTGATGATTTCTGGCGCAAAAGCCGATGACTTAATTCTTCTCTCCACATCTCTACAAAAAGAACACTCAAACGATGTTGCGTAGTTTATTTAAAATTTGTTTTAGCCAACTACTTGTTTTTTTCTAAAAAGATGTTTTGTTAAGAACAGTTTTAATTGAGATAATATATTGTGACTTTGTAACTTTAATTCTCTCTTACGCAAATTAAAAAGTTTAAAATAAGTTTTTCATTAAAAGAGTCAAATTCTTTTACCTTCTAGTATTCCTAGCACCAAATGTGTCCAATCCAAGCATCTTCATTTGTCGAATAATTTGTCGGCGTGTTCGAGGCTGCGATAAACCTTGCTCAATGTATTCAACGATATCAACACCTAAAACTTATATGTATATGTTAGAGAACGGGTAAAAAATTGCTAACAAGAAAGCTTGAGATTTTTTCTTTTTTTTACCTTCAGGTTTTTCCTCAAACAGCAAATATTCTTCATAAAGAGCTCTTAATTCGTTATCTAATTCTTCAGGCCATAATATTTCTTTGCCTTTACTACCATCTTGTCTAATTCTGAAATTAAATTTTATTTTCAGTTTTATTAACACACACTGTGGAATTTCTGATAAGCCTTGCAAATCAGTACTTTTCAAATATCCATTGTTTCTTTAAAATGAAAATGATTTAGATTAACTGGAGAACATAATTAATAATCAACACCTGTTCGCTACTAGTTCAGTACTTACTCAAATGTTCCATATCCATTAGCAATTTCGTGACACTCTTTGGGACCTTTCCAGAACAAGAGTTCCGGAATTAATTTGGACCCAATTTTTTGATAATCACCGTAAAATCGTCGTAAAAGATGGTAACCAAACTGGTATATTTCAAAATACTGGCTTTTTTTGATTTCATGTATTGATTGATCCTTGAAACGCAGAGCAAGTCGCTTGAAGATTACAAAAAGGGAAAGCTATAATTAAGAATCATTATGTAATGTTTGAAAAGTTTACAATGATTCTAATGAAACTAAAATTTAACAAAAGTTGCTTCATGTTTCAAATTAATTATATATGGATGAAGAAAAGTAACCTGGTATAGACGTGGAGCCATTTTCAAATCAAAAGCTATTCGATGCAGAAGCTTTAAGACTGCTTTATTCACTTCGACTGTATTAGATTCGAAATCAGCCAAGAGAAAGATATACCTATAATATCATTTGAAACTAGTCGCAAACAAATAAGTTTGAAATACAATAAACTAAGGCAATACCGTTTCGAGAACGGTATCATCTCATTCAACAAATGCATAAATTACCATTTTATAACATCCACTCGTGCGAATTTTGCGATATAATCATCGAAATGAAAGTCTATTTCTTTCTCTACCACGCTTGTTTCAACATCGGATTCACCACTTGTTTTCTCATACTCTTCATCGAATCCGTCAATTTCGTCATCAAATTGGGCATCGTTTCTTATGTCTCTCTCTGACCCGTATGTTTCTAATCGACATTTCTCCCAATTTGCTTTAACCTGCTTGGTTTTAAAACTTTATTTTTTCAGTTTGAATTTAAATTTCCGATTTTTATTACGTTTAGAAACAAAAGACAAAATCAAGTACATAGAAAATTTTTAAAAATGAATACAAGCAGCTTATTGTCCTTACTGTGCTGTTTTTATCTCAAATTTATTTAATCTCAAGAAGAAACTTAAATCTCTTAAAGCAAAATGGTTGAATATAAGTAATCAAATAATCAAAAACTGCTAATAATTTATTCTTCAATTTCCAAATTTCGGTATTATTAATAGTGGAATGTATAAGCACTCCTCCTTTTGTTTGCCTTAATTTGCAAATAATGTTAATAACAAAAAGTGATTAACGCAAAATGAGAAAAATTGGAATGAAAAATAAGAGTAAAAAGAAACAAGAAAGATAAAAATGAAAATGACTTCTCTAAGGTCCACAAAGTATACAGCACGTAATTCGAGGAATTCATCCTCAGGAAGTATATCGTTTGTTCCGAATATGCCATCTTCAGGCCATAAATCACGCGCTGATCGGTATATACCTACAGCATCAGCTATACGCCGCTGATGAAGTGCCTGTTGCACCATAAGCATTGAAAATTGTCTGTAAATAAATTTCTGCAAACCAAAGCTTCTAAATCCTTAAAATTTACATGAAATTTTAGTTGCAATTAACTAATAGTTATGAAAAGTTAGAAGCAATAACAATAAAAGAAATATAGGATAACAAGAAAAGTAAATGAATAAATGAAAAAATACTGATGAATTCGGTCATCGACATTCAGAAGCACATCGATGGCACTAATATCAACGGTTGGTTGAACATGACCGAATATAACATCCGACAATTCTTCGCAAATATCATCCCATAAATGCCAATTTGACTCTTTTGATTCCTGTGCAGCATTTTCTGCAAAAAATCCAATGATTTATACATAAGAAAAGATCTGAAAAAATATAAATATTAGGCCAATTCAGATTTTCAAGCAAATGAAATGAAGGAACACTTACTTAACTTTTCTTTTCTCTTTGACTTTCGTCGCCGTTTCTTTTGACGTTTAACTACCGTCAACAGCATTCGTTTCTTGGAAAACTTCTCAATCAAACTAATGTACGCGTGGTTTGCAAGCACAATATTTTGCAAGAAAGTTTTCGAAAATACACCGGGCTGCAAGCATATAATCTTCGAAAGATTGCAATTAATCATGGAATGCTCATGATACAATTATAAAATAATCGCTTCTAACATTCAAGTGTAGACGTGACTTAGAAAAATTCAGCTTAAAACAATGATCTGAAATCCACACCTCAAAGTAAGGAATATTAAATATCCCACTACACGGATACCTTGGAATATTTAAATAACAACACGATATATTAAATAATTCTTTAAAAAGTAAAAAATTCGGACTTAAATAATTTTATATCAGAGAAAATATTTCGAATTTAAATTTAACTAACCATAAATTTACGAATAACACAACTTGACAAATCCCTGTATTCTTCAACTCTTAGTATATGTGTGCAAGCAGATCCTACTTCCCGTTTCCACTCCTTATTTCCAGATTTCAGGATTGATATCAGCCTGAAACGATGAAAGAGCTACTCAGTAGATCAAAAAAAACAAAAAATTGACCTAATTCATAGTGGGAATTTCAAACTCTTCATATAAAACCAAAAACATATTTAAATGGAGAAACTTACGTAAGTAATAGTTCCTTGTAAGAGGCTAAAGCGTATTGTGCACGTAATCCGTGAATACGCCCCTCCTTTCGGTCAATTCTTACCTTTTCCAGACAATTGTCCAGTTGAGTTTGAACATGATGAAATGCTTCTATGCTGAGTGAAGCTTTTATCTAAATTGATCACATAACACCTTATATAAAATATGAATTCGAGCTATGATTCTATCACTTGCATCAATTTCCATTTCCTTTCTCATTAGCTTCATATTTCTCTGAATAGAAAGAAAAAAAAATTTCCTGATATCTTAGAATGAATGTGAAAATGTGGAATGAGAATTAGCATTTGATATTTGTATTATTCATCATCAAATGACAGTTCGTGTTTGCAGTTATTAGATACGTACATATTCAGGAGATAGTTCAGCCAAACGACAGAATTCCAACGAGAATTGCATTAAAATAAAATAATGTATATCAGATTTGTCCTGTCCCAAAGTTCGTTTTCCAGAAAAAGCCTACAATGACTTTTGTGAAATAAGCATTTTTTGCTCATAACATTCTAACGACTATCAATATCAATTGAATTATAATCTCCTATTAAAAAATGAAAACACTAAGATATAAGTCATATATTTTATTAATGTGAAGAAATTCGAATTCTGACTTACGCTATCTTTGCATCCCCACATCAATCGACAGTATGACTTTTGCAGCATTTCTGTGCAAAAGGATCGTAAAGCTACACGCACATTGATAATCGAAAAATGTTTGCCAGTTTCAATATCAAAGGGTCGCCGACTTTTCGGAAGTCGATGCTGAATCTTTCGCTTATTTAAATGATCGATTTGATTGCAGTTCTTTATCACTCTGAAAAATTCCGCAAATACATTTTCTTTAAGTTTGCAGATGAATTTTAATCACCTCAAAAGTGAATCTTCATGTTCACCAGCCCAAATCTTATCTGCTTTTCAATCCTGCAACTAACTGATGATTAATATCAATACATCAGAAGTCGAAAAACACAACTTTTTTGTCTTTATCCCCAAAAACTAATCTTAGCCTATTTACTAGTGTTCTGCACATAGAATTAAATTAAAGAAAAACAGTTATGAAAAATGCAGGAATAACTCTAACAGGAGATTTTCACGAAAAATTGATTCGGAATTTTATATAATTTTCCCGCTTTCATTTAATTAATTTTGACAAAATAGAAGCCAAAAACAGAACTTGTTAATAACCATATCGTTATTTTTATTAATTGCCTTCAATCCTTTCACAATGTAAGATCCAGCAAAAGAGGTATGCCTGCTTGACATGTATCGACGCTTATTAAGTTGTTTCTCAGTTTCCTGTTGAACAAGTTTTTGCATTTCAATCTTTTGCTTCTCTCTCTCTTCTGTAGTGCGAATATTTCCAGCTTCCACGACATCCTTCGCCTCCTGAATATCTAACTTTTAATATTTATGAGAAAGATAATGTAAAGGAAAATTGACAATCCAGCAAGATTTACGTGTTGTTTCAGCAGAAGTGCGAAAATTTCTAAAATCCACAGGTGAAAATCACGTTCTGCTGAAGTTTCGGAAATTTTAACAAGCAACTTTCCGAAACCACTTTCCAGAAAGGCTAGAACCAACTGATCATGACTGTTCACATCCTGAGGAGAACGCTGCAATGTCATATAGATG